GATATTTGACCAAGAGCACTTACAAAGTTCGAACATTCAAATCGTTTAACTTCAGTGGATTCACATCGGACATTAATACTTTTACGAAAACATTACCTAACGTCATCGGTGGAAATTCAATCTCTAATAGGCGTATGAACAGTGAAGACTACAGGGCTAGGTAGCTCACTATTAAGTGAATTGTACCTACGTCAACTCGAAATTAACTCGTGAACCCTCGATAAGATATTAAGGAAGTTCCAGACTAGAAAAAACGACTTTATATTGTTTGTAAGTTTGTGAAGTTTTTATTTATAAATCATTGTTTGTAATAACTGTTATTGTAAATTGTATTGTTGTGTGTATATTAATACGTATTTGTGTTTTTAAAAAAAGAAAACTGTGTGTATCAATCTTGTTGGCAAATATCATAAACTGACTATATATCGGCTTTAATTTAACTACTAAATCCAAAGTACAATTAACTACTAAATTTAAAATTATCAGTTAACTCGGTTTCAGACCATTTTAAATTCTAATACGTAACATCAAAAACACAGACAATGTAAAATAATAACTTAACAAACGTTTAGTAAATTCAAGAAACCAAATTTTATAGATGGACTTTATACCTTTGCAGTTGAAAAAGGGCTAGAAAAATTAAGTTTTTATACATTTAAACAGTTAGAAGTAAGACGGGGTTTAGGCATGTTGAAGTAAAGTTAACAAAAAAATATGCCGTTTTGTTCATGTAACATTATTCATAATTTTACCAATGATAATTATGCAGGGTTTCCGACGGGGTCAGCATTTTAAAATGTTATCTATGGCAGTAAAATACCTAAAGCCTGCCCTGCTGACGTCAAATAGATAATGGTGTTTATTTTTTATTGTTTAAGAATTTCGCGCAAAGCTACACAAAAGCTATCTTCACAGACGTCCCTAATAGTGAGATTTGACCATTACTGTTATAATACACCCATGGCCCCAAAATACCAAGCAGATTCACAGCCCAAGCATGCTAACCATTGGACCACACCCACCTGTTGTTTTACTTGGATGAGATGGGATAGTGTTTTAGCCCTGGATTAAGTTGAGAATCAGAATTTTAAAAGAATCTTATAATTACAATGTAATAATAATAATAATAAAAAATTGGGAATATATAAGAAAATAGCATATGCTTAACAAACCGTCACAGATTTATCTAATGCTTGAATATTATACTAAGTTGGGGCGAGCCCAGCCTAGTGATTAGCATGTCGGACTGTGAATTCGAGGTTCGCGGCCCATTATCGCTAGAAAAAACACGCCGCGTTATAAGAGTAACGGTCAAATCCCGCTATTCAATTAGAGCAGCCTCGAGATGTATGTGGTTGGTACTGACTAGCTGCTTTCCCCACCTGCGCTAAGCTTTTGAGTAGCTCTGCACGAAATTCAAGAAACAACAACAGCACTTACATCATAGAGTACATTTACGAGTATAATAACAAATCTATTTCAAGGTCCTAAAATAGAGATCATCCCGTCCATGGAAAAAAAAATCTTGACAGTAAAATAATAGCTCCAAACATTAATTGATTTTCAAAGCCATCAACAACAGTGCGTGCGTTTTCAGTTACGGTAGATTCTAGCCCACAACCTTGTTGCCATCTATTAAATCAACTGTCGTAATATTTGAAGTTTGTTTGTTTGAAGATAAGCACAAAGTTACCCAATGGGCTATCTGTGCTCTGCCCACCACGTGTATCGAAACCTGGTTTCTAGCGTTTTAAGTCCGTATGCATACCGCTGTACGACTGGGAGGGGGGGGGGGATGTTTGAAGTAAACAATCAGTTTTACGGAGAAATTCCCGCTGCATCTAATTCGAAACGGGGATGTTCTTTTCGCGATTCTATGCATTTCGTTCTTTGTTTTTTAACCCTCTTGGTGCCGTTTAATGTTGCATACCACTAAAAAATCCCTGGTTGGAAAAAGCGCTGAAAGGTATATATATATATATAGAAGACTACGTCGTAGGTTTTCAGACTTAACGATATTTCTTAACTATCAATCCGAATACGTATGGAGGATTAGATTTTGTAAGATCGATAACCACTATCGCCGTACAGATCTGTTTCATAGTATACGGAGTCGAGAGAGAATAATAAAATGTAAATTAAGACATGACCTAACACGTTTAAGAGTCGGCCAATACACTTAAAAAAGCTACTTCGATAAAGATAATTGAATATCAATGCTACTGTTTATTCTCACATGTACGAAGACAAACAAATAATAAAATAAACTGATTTAAAAACAAGAAACACAAATAGCACTGAATACAAAGTTACGAGCCTTGTACGTTAGATAAAAGACAAGGACCACAAAGTTTTGATCCACAGCTTTAATATATATATATATAAATATATATTTCTTGCTTATCAAATACAACGAAAACGCACATAATGCTTTAGTGATATAACAAATAACGTAAAACGGTCTACTTACTTCATATATTGAATTCAAATATATATATATATAGATATATATATACACGTATAATTGTTTTTCATTTGTAACGAACCCATATTGCAGATGTGTGTATTAACACATATAAAAGCTTTGTGTATTTTCTTCCACGTTGTTTTTATTGCACTTGCAGACTACCGGTCACAGTTTCAACCATCCTTATGTGTTTCACTCTATGTACACAAACATATCAACCATGTTATGAATCGATATCGATAATTAGATCCCACATCATTGTCATGGTTACTAGCTTAAACGATCATCTAAATCTAATTATTAAACATTAACTAATTCTTAATCATTATTTTTATATATATATTTATTTCTTATTTACGTGCTTTATTTATGTCTAACTAGATACTAATTGAGTTTAACTGATCGCCATAACATTAAGTTCCATATCGCACATCATTTAACAACAGTAAGATTGAGACGCTACTCTAAATTTGTAAACAAAGGAAAGATAGTTACTCAAAGATAAACTAGATAACTACAAATTTAATACATTAAAAGTATCCATGGGGCTGCGAATTTATGTAAGAAAGAGGTGTGAGTCAATGGGAAGTGTTAGTTAAGTCCTTAGCTGGTGGGGATGTTGTTGTTGTGTTTTTTTGAGAACAAAAAGGCTATATGCGCCCTGTTCACCGCGAATAATTGAACTCCGGATTTTATCATTTTAAATCCGGAAGCTTACCGCTGACTCATCAGGCCACCCCCCCCCCCCCGGTGGGGAAAATAAGTGATATAAAAACATACTCTAGGAATTAATTTAAAATATCAGTGTCAGGCTTATTTGAAAATTAAACATGAAGAATTAGTGTTAACGCTTTTTCTCTGTGTTTGTGTTGCGGAAACAATGTTTTTGCAATATGACAAAATGTAAATAATTTTGCATTGCACAATGGGGGGGGGAGACAGGGAATTGCAATACAACCTGAGATTTGATACAAATGTGACTACTATTTTAATTCATATGATTTGAGATTTAGTTAGTGTATTATGTGCGAGTTACAAGAAAACTTATCACTAAAACAATTGGTTTATACGCTGTTAGTAACAGTGTAGATATACATAACTCAGATCAGTCAAACATTCCATTCACTTAACCATTATATTATAATGTATTTGAACTAGAACAGATTCGCAAAAAAGAGTTCATTCAGGAAAATTTGTTTGTTTGTTTTGAATTTCGCGCAAAGTTACACGAGGGCTATCTGCGCTAGCCGTCCCTAATTTAGCAGTGTAAGACTAGAGGGAAGGCAGCTAGTCATCACCACCAACCGCCAACTCTTGGGCTACTCTTTTACCAACGAATAGTGGGATTGACCGTCACGTTATAACGCCCCCACGGCTGAAAGGGCGAGCATGTTTGGTGGGACGGGGATGCGAACTCGCGACCCGCAGACTGCGAGTCGAGCGTCCTAACCACCTGGCCATGCGGGCCCCATTCAGGAGAAAGTTACTAGGATAGTACCTGGGATGAGAAAGTTGAAAAACGAAGAGTTAGAGGGGATCTGATTAATGTGTTCAAAATTATTAAGGGATTTTATAATGTTGATGCGTCATCATTTTTGAGAACTTAATGGTGATAATGGTAGGACTAGCGAACACAAGTATAAATTTCGGCAGGGCAGAACTCATCTTCAGCCAAGACAGCTTTATGTTTCCAATATGTTGGTCTTTGAAAAGGGTTGCCCTCAGATGTGGTAGATGCAGTTAGTTTTTAAGGAAATTTAAGGGAAGGCTTGATAAATACTAGAAAGATAAGGACTGGCTTTGAGTGTTTACTTTCCATTCTAAAGCTTAGTTTGGTGGACGGGATGGCCTAAACGGGTCATTTGTTGTCCTTAAATGATGTATATATATACATATACAGGCTGTGCTACTGTTCTGCGGACATCTAACCTGAATATGCAACATACAGTACTAAATAAGGTAAAAGTTTATATATGTATTTGGAACTTATAGTAATGTACAGTATTAGCTTTAATAGCTAATAATAGCTTTAATTTAATAGCTTTAATTAGCTTTTGTATTTTAGTGATTCTTAGTATTAGACAGATTTAATATATATATATATATATATATATATAACATTACATTTCTTAAATAGTAATAACTGCATTGGCCAAATGTGATAGGCATAGTACATGAAGCTTTACATGTTACATTCTGCCTCAGTGCTTAGTAATTACATTAAACCTCGTCAGGTGTTCTTAGGATAACGGACGAAAATAACGCTGTCAGCGAGAGTATCTAACTGGTGACCTAAGGCAGAATGGTTATAAGAGCTTTTCGTAGTTTGTCTGCTACTCATAGTTAAGATTAGTTATTATTAATTATAATTGTATATTTTTAGCAGCTCTTCTGGTAAATTAATATATGATTAATATAAATTTTTTTATTAAAACACGACATATAAAACTGAATTTTACAAATAAATACTCACCAAATTTTACAAATAAATACTCACCATTCACGTTAGTGTGTATCATTCTAAGATACCCCTAACGATGATAAAAAAAAGAACTAAAAGTATCTGTTGAATCTACGAATATAATTCGCAAATCTCCAATGTTCATAAAACAACTCTTAAAAATAGGACTTACATTACTTAATTAATTTAACTGGTGCTTCTGTACATATCAATGATCTCGAGGAGCATGACCACAAGACTTTAGAAACACTCCATTAGAAGTAGGTATAATTTTTATCGGTCCTCAATTAAAACAACAACAACAACAACAAATAGTTTGCCCCACTTTTATGAGGGTAAATAAACCACATTAGGAGAAAAGCAAATAAGTTTATGAGCTTTCTGGTCCTGAAGGCAGTTGCTGAAACTGTGACCGAAAGCTTGAGAATTGAATAAAAGGAAAACGTGAAAGAGAAAACCTCGCTCTCTTGTCTTGAAATATAGTAAATACCACCTTTAATTGCACTCGTTGACCTTTTTGAACTTAAATATTCCAAACCACTGCTTTAAAAAATGAACGATTGATTAGACATATCGATATTATTTTCGATAAACATTATATAGCTTCGAAATACTGTGAGAATTTCTTTCTTTGCGTTATAAGAGGCACAACTAATACGCTTTTCTTCTGTGTTTTTATTTTTTGTGTTAATTATCATCAAATGAAAACACAACTTTTGTGAAACATGCCAAACTTTCAGTGACACGCACCTAATTACATTTAAGAGTTCACATTATCCTAAACATTAAAGGATAAACGAGAAAACATTCAAACATGGGAAAGGTATATCTTTGTTTTATAAACTGAGCTTAGAAATTCTATTTAGTCAGATTTCATTCTCTGTTTTTCAGGAACTTAACAAATTTCTTGCTTGCACGAATTATTGCACAGAACCAGACAGAAACTGACCTCTCCCATATGGTCAATATGACATGATGTTGATTCCGTCCTGGTGTAACCGGCTAACCCAAAAACTGACTAGTCGGAGGGAGTCCTCCTCCTCCTCCACCCCGTCTCTACTGGACACTTTACAGGTGTGATAACGATGGTTTGAGGTTCTCCTGTCTATTGATTCCTCCACCCCGTCTCTACTGGACACTTTACAAGTGTGATAACGATGGTTTGAGGTTCTCCTGTCTATTGATTCCTCCACCCCGTCTCTACTGGACACTTTACAAGTGTGATGACGATGGCTTGAGGTTCTCCTATCTATTGATTCCTCCACCCCGTCTCTACTGGACACTTTACAAGTGTGATGACGATGGTTTGAGGTTCTCCTATCTATTGATTCCTCCACCTCGTCTCTACTGGACACTTTACAAGTGTGATGACGATGGTTTGAGGTTCTCCTGTCTATTGATAAGGGCGTTTATGTATGCACAATTGTAAGACCACATATATTTACGAGTTCCGTCGCTATCTGCTGATGCTGGTATTAAGTACAAATGGTACGTAAAACATCTTACTCTGGAGCAAGAGCCCAGCAGCTGCATGGACTTCTGGTAGACAAGCTAATAGGTCATTAAATCGATTTGGTTGGTGATGAAAACGATGTTCAATGAAGACTCGAAGGGTTGTTAGATAACGCTCCTGAATTGTCTCAAGTTCCCGTTGACCTTGGTACTCTTCTGTAATAATTACATGTTAATCATTACTTTGGAGATGCTACTATAATCTTACTATTTATACCGATTGTTTCTATTTATTATATTTTTAATGATATTGAAACCCAATGACTCAACTTTAGATTGATTTATTAGTCTTGCTAGATTATTGTAACTATTTCTAAGTCTGGCAACTCAAATTTCTCTTATTTCTCTCTATTTGACAGTTTAAAATATTTCACAATAGTTATTTCCATAAAACCCAATGAATGGGCCTTTAAAACCACGTGAAATAACAGCAACAATTAAATACATTTCATAATTCTGTCACTTTCGTGAGAAACGAAAACCTATTGGTTTATTTTTTTAGAGGTCTGCTACCTCAGTTTTTGGTCGAGTTGGATCCGCTGTTCTTGAATTTTGAGACAACTAGAAAATCAAACAACTCTTGTTCAGATTTTCAAAGGATTAGTGACTGGTTCTAGACTTGAGTCACCGAACTTGCTAGGTTGTTATTTTGAAGTTAAATTAGTACACCATAGTGATTGTAAGTGCATTGATACATATTGAGTTCACTAGACTGCTCGAACATTCGATATTTAATTATAAAAACAATAATAATAGTATAAACATTTGTAAAATTATAGTAATAAGCAGCTCCAAATTGATAAAATTGCTTAGTTTAACTAACTATATATTGGTATAATTATGAAACAAAATAACAACTACAAACAGGTGAATCTTTTATCGTGATTGTAATTGTTAAAACAATACTTCATCGCAAATGTACCATCATTATTATATTATAAACTAGTTTTCATTCATCGCAAATGTAACATCATTATTATATTATAAACTAGTTTTAATTCATCGCAAATGTAACATCATTATTATACTAGAAACTAGTCTTTCACCCAAGGTTGTTTAACATTAATTTCATATTTTTGAGAAAACGTTTAAGAAAAGTATCACATATTTACTTCAAGCCGTCCGTAATCTGTAATTCTGTACACAGATAATATAAATGTTATCATTTCCTTTACAAACGCTTCCTTTCTTGTACGATTACAAACATGTTATGTTTGACAATATCAACAAAAAAAACTATATTTTTAAAAATATGTTATGAAATATTATAAGATGTATACGAGACTGACATCGTCGATGTACCACAGCAAAATTACATTGCATAAAATTAGAAATTATTCATATTAGTATTAACTTAAAACACAAATACTAAAAGTTATATACAATTTCTATATATATATATTTCATGAAGTAACGCTGATAACAAATATGAATTAAACTTATTAAATCGAGGAGCTGCTTCATCGATTACGTTATAAAGTATTAGTTTAATAAAGCATCTATCATAAATGTTAGTTCGAATCCCGCTCGGTCTCAATTTTAATTATTACAAACAAGAAAAAAAAAAGTAGTTGAAACAACACAGAATAGGCCTAGTAGCCATTTACTTTTAACTATCTCCCACCTTGATTTAGCATGATGATAACCTTGAGACAGACGTATTCTTCAACACACAATTTCATTCGACGGAATGCAGAACCAAGTTGTATAAGACGGTCCACAAGAGGACCAGCTTCTAATCGTAGCTGTTCAAGTGTAATTGACCGTCCCATCATAGCAGCCAGACAGCTTTGAAGCCGACAAAGACCTGCTGCTATCTCCTGGTCCAGACTTGTCTCAGAACTTTTCACTGGTCCGTGGATAGCTTGGTAAGCGCACGTAGTCAGCACTAAAAGCTCGTGCCACTTGTGGGTCAGCAACTACACGAAAATACTCTATTAATCAGATCTTGAGATAAAGATTTATGGATTGAAATGTCATTATTAAAAGTACAAAAAACTTGTTATACACATAAAACAACATATTTATTTTACATATATTAAATCATATCAAACAAAAAATACTTGTTAAAATTGTTTCTCTTTAAAATAAAATAAAATTATCTATACTTAGTCTATTTGCAACTGTATTTGTCACAATATTAGGTTGTTATTTATTATTAAGCATAAAGCTACACAAAGGGCTATCTGTGCTCTGCCTACCACGGTTATCGAAACCCGGTTTTTAGCGTTATATGTCCGCAGATTTACAGCTGTGCCACAGATAGCCCTTTGTGTAGCTTTGTGCTTAACTGTAAACAAAAAAGGGGTAATGTTAATGATAAATAAGTCACGAGCTAACATCAGTCATTGTTCGGCGGGAAGATTTGTTTTGGTTTTGTTTTGAATTTTGCGCAAAGCTACACGAGGGCTATCTGCACTAGCTGTCCCTAATTTAGCACCGAATGACTAGAGGAAAGGCAGTTAGTCATCACCACCCACCGCCAACTTTTAGGCTACTCTTTTACAAACGAATAGTTGGATTGACCGTCATTTATAACGCCCCCACAACTGAAAGGGCGAGCATATTTGGTGGGACGGGGATTCGAACCCGCGAACCGCAAATTGCGAGTCAAACTCCATAACCACCTGGCCATGCCGGGGCCCTAATTATATTGTTTGATTTACAGCGTAAGAAAGAATTAAAATACGAACGTATTAAAGATATACATATTACTTAAACACATAAAATATAACTACTGAAAAGTGCTTTGGCTGTTGTGCTGCAATAAAGTGTGTAATAGATAATACATAAAACGTAAAAGAAAAGATTTGATATGTTTAGTTTAACAATTATATGTACATATATATATTTATTTATTCACATACACGTTCCTATTTACATATAACTTTATACCAAAAAGATTTATCTCTTGGAATCTGCCAAAAAAGCGGTATTTCTCGTGGTATTACCATAATGCGCCTTAATAGCAAACTCATCTAAGCCTTGTCCGTGCAACACGTGTTTGTATTTCACCTGAATAATGTGGAGGGAGTTTGTCTGCATTCCTGATTGACATGTGCAATTTCTTCATAAATAAGTACACATGCGTGCATAGAAAGGTAGCTGTAGGTAATTCATGTTATGTTCACAGGGAGTAAAACTAACAAATATTGAAATCGATACTTAGCTAATTTACGTTTACCTTGCACGTGTCTTGCTCTATTTTTATATAAACAAGATAAAGCACCCCCAGTGGCACAGCGATATGTCTGCGGACTTACAACGCTAGAATCCGGGTTTCGATACTCGTGTTGGGCGAAGCCCATTGTGTTGCTTTGTGCTTAACTTCAAACAAACGAACAAATAAAAAAAGCCTTTTTGTGATCTTTCTGGAAACCACCAGAAGCCAGTAAAGGACAACTTGTTTACAGAAGATATAAGGTCTGTTTG